TAGTTAATATAATCTCTTTTAACTGTCAAAAAAAAAAAGAACTCATGGCTTGGATAGAGACGATTTCTGGTTACTAAGTTTCTAAAATTCCAAATTAATGCTTAGATTTCTTTTCCATTTAGGTTAATTTCTAGACGTGAATCAATTTATGTTACTCTCTAAACATGAAGAGTTTGGAACAAGGAAATCTTACAAGAAATTCCAACCTAATTATTAATCAAGATAAAACCATAGAATTAGAATCGATGTAATTGATTCAACTGGTTCTATTCTATCAGCTAGACTTAACCCGTTGACAATGCTAGATAAAAGCCAAAGTCAATAACCTCATATACAAGCTAATCATGCAGGGAAAATTTCTGATTCCTTATTTAGTTTTTGTATTATTATCCTATCTAGAAATTTATCCTRCCTAAAAAAATTATTGGAGGTCAAACCACTCAAACTACCTCTATTGACCAAGCTGAGTTGTTTGCGATAATGGAGCTTCATAACTGGAATTATGAAGAAATATGCATATGCTCGGATGCCCAACAAGTAGTAAAGGCCTTCAAGAAGAAAGTAGATCTCCCCTTGTCTTGCCAATGGCTTTTGTCTAGAACAAGGAATTTGATTTTGAACTCTATTAATATTAAGTTTTGTTATGTAAATAGAAACTTTAACTGTCCAGCCCATAAGATTTCCTAGATAGCCTAAACTCACTCCCTTTTGTTTTTTTGTATTAAATGATTATCAGGCTGGGATCCCTAGGGTTGAGGACTTTGTAGTGGTCTCTTATCTCTAATATAGTTTTTTTATTTGTCAAAAAAATTCACAAACATAATATGGGATATTACTCTTACAAAAAAAAAAGAGATATTACTTGGCACTTCTACCAATAGAAACACCATATAACTTGTATCATCCATTCAGCTCTTGGTAACAAAAGAATAATAAGACCCATAGAGTTCATTCTATCACGTATCACCACTAATTCAACAATCCGCTTCGACGAGAGTATGACAACACTGGTCCAGACCTCCTTATTATGCTCTTGGTCTAGACCAGAGTATGTTTTGAGAAGATTCCTGAGCCAGATATCTAGAAGTCATCGTATCAAACAGTAACCTGTGGCAGGGACCAATTCACACCACACCATAGTCTACAACTCTTTTGAAGTGTGGATAGATTGTGTAGAATGGACCAGTCCACATTCATGGTGGCGTTTTGTAGGTGTGGTGTGGAGTCCACACTATACTTTTTAATTCCATGTATCTCATATACATTTTATGGGAGATCTACATAGTCGATCATAAATGTCTAATTTTTGCATTTTATATGGTAAATAAACCTATACTACTTTAAAAAGCATGAATGGCCTTAAGAGTATTTCTGGAATTTTCTAAGGAAAAAATTTGCCCCTCTATATTTAAATTTATTGATAAAAAATGAGGGCAAATAGGGTAATTGGTTATTGATATTAAATGAGTTGAAAGGAGGTAATTTAAAGACATTCAATTCTCTCTCATTAAATTCAACATTTAAGTTGTTAACTTGCATTCATGTTCACTGAATCATATATTTAAGTCATTTTTGTTTATTATCATCATTAAGTTCTATTAATTAAATCCATACTTAATAAATCAATAATTCCAATAACATAGAAGCTATACTTTTAAAATCTACCTAGCAAAAATAGTGTTTTTTTCTAGGTGGTGGTAAGAAATTAAATCATTTTGGGTCAAATGGGTTAATCCATGTTGCCATGACTAAATAATAAAATTAAAAATAGATAAAATAAAAAATAAAATTAAAAAAATGGGAACATTTTTAACATACTTATTAAACAATAATAAGTATGATAAATAAGAAATGTTTTTATTAATGATGGAAATGGATGTAAAATTTAAAACCAATTGGAAATAAAAATATTTTCCTATTCTCTCTCATTAAATCCTRTATTTAAGATATATTTTTCTCATCATTAAATTCTTGAAATTAAATCCACAATATTAATTTTAATAGTATAAAAATAAATATTTTGAAAAGTAATTTGAAAACAAAACCATTTTCTTCCCTCTCGATGGTGGGCAAGCAATTCGACCATTTGGGGTCAAATGGATCAATAGATAATGTCATAATTAAATAATAAAAAATTAAAATAAATAACTATGAAATGTAAGAAGTATTTTTATTAATGATAAAAATGGAATTCCAAATTCAAAATCTACCTAGAAATTAAATGATGTCATAGTAAAATAATAAAATTTTTAATAATAGAAAATATAAAGAACCACAAAACTTTTGGGCGCATATCTAATGTTATATATTTATAAAAAATAAAATATTGGGTGCATCTCTAATATTGTGCATTCATTATATTAAACAAAAATAAGTTTTATACATACGAAATAATTTTATTAATGATGGAAATGTAATACAAAATTTAATGTCAACCTAGAAATCAAACAATTTTTATTTTTAGATGGTTGATTAGTGGTTTGAGTTAAATGATCCCATAGACGAACAAAAATTAAGTGTAAAAAGTAAAAAATATTTTATATAATGTAATTGAAATATATAATTTAAAGGGAAAATTATAGTCAAAGTCGGTTGTACATTTAAAATTAGGTTGCAGGTTGGTCTAGAAGCCAACAAAACTCTGACAACCGACTTTACATTTCAAATTATAAAATCCCCTACCATGTCATCAGAGGCTTATGTGACTATTGCCAATATGGAGTTTTTAGTCCATGTTGGACACAACAAAAAACCTATATCAAAAATAGGTTTTTAGTTTCTCTCCCACTCCCTTTGTCTCTCGATGTCCCTCCATTCTCTCTTAGTCTCACGGTTATCTCTCGATCTCCCGCTCTCTTTGTCTCCCCCACTCTCTTAAATTCAGTTTGTAGCCAAATCAAAACCTCTCTCTCTCTCCCTCTCTCTCTCTCTCTCTCTCTCCCTCTCTCTCTCTCTTTATTGTTATCCTTTAATGTTTCTCATTCTTCTCCCTTACTCTCCCTCTCGGTCAATATCTCCTTCTCCCTCAATCTCTATCGTTCTACAGTTGGTGTAAATTTCATAGACAAGAGTTTCCTGTGAATTTTTATCAAATTGGTGTAATAATTTTTGAACCATACCAAGTTGGTCTCATGTTCTTTTATACGATCTRATTAATACCATATAAGTGTGTAAGAAAATAAAACAAATGAGAGAGGGAGTGGGAGAGAAAATGAAGGAGAACGATAGAAATTAAGGGAGAATGAGAGATATTGAGGGAGAACGATAGGTAGAGAGAGGGAATGAGAGAAATTGATATAGAGAACGTAAATACAGAAACAAAAAACCATTTTTATTTATTTTCAAATCATATAGTTGTTGAGTAGATAAAGATGACTATGGGTGAGATGGTGTGAGGAAGAGAGATAAAGAGTAAAAACCTTCTTTTTTATTTTTCAATCACTCAATAGTAAAGGGCAATTTCAGTATAAGCTTTTTATTGTGTCCAACATGGATTAAGAGTTCCATGTTGGCAATAGCCACATAAGCGTCTGATGACATGGTGAGGGTTTTTATAATTTGAAATATAGAGTCGGTTGTCAAAGTTATGTTGGTTTATGGACCAATTTGTAGCCTAATATTAAATGTACATCTAGCTTTGACTATATAAAACTAATCATATTGTTACTTTTGTTAATTTTCAATTTCTATCTTTACTATGATATATCTAAAATTCAAGTAATTAATATGAGGAAATTTTTTGCACGTGCAACGCATGTGCTTAATTACTAGTTGAAAAAAAAAGCATCAATATGTAAACAACAATTGCATTTTTTAAATAATTAAAAAACATTATTTTAAATATTAAAATAATAAAAAAATTAATGTTTTAAATATTATTTTATTGATAAAAATATTAAAAAATTAATATTTAAATAATGAAAAAAGAGTTGAGGAGAACCATCGGACTTGTGCTAGAATTAATATTAAAAATTATTATTTTATTGATAAAATATTAAAACTTATTAAAAGATTAAATAAAGTGAGAGTAATTAGACCAATGTAATGCAGGTGCGTTACATTGAAACCTTCCCATAAACTGTCAACACAATAGTGTGGACCATTCACGAGAAAATACTGTAGATGATAAATTGGGGTGTGACCCGTCCTTGTCCACGCTATTTTGTGGATGAGGACTGTCCACACATAGCAGGACACCATATCTTACCGTGAACAGGAACAAAACGATCCCATCCACGATATATACACACTACCGAACGCCACCATAATCTAATGAAGTTGATTTTGTGGAGATCGGCTTCAGTCAATACAAGGCCCATTTGAACACCTTCGAACAGCTTACATCCGAAACATCTCCGTAGTTCTATGCTTTATTTCATGAGAAGATACTGCCCACAAGAACTCTCGCATGTCTATTCACATTACATCGAGTTCACATCTCCTCCTCACGAGGGGCCGCCCCATAACGTTCCACAACACATCTCTGCTGTGTATTGGAAACTTCTCCATATGTCATTGGTTCTGATACTATCATTGGGAGATGTTCCCAATACACGACGGAGATGTGGACATTGTGGGGTGGGGATGTGAACTTTATTAGATTGCGGTCACACATAAGGAACATCTCATCCTCTTTTATAGTATAATATTATGCATGTGTTGTGGGTAAACGTGGGAAGGAAAGATCCGGAGTCTGATTTTATTGAATTGGGATCTGCTCCTTATACAGGACACCTCACAGGARCATCCCACCGTTCATTGGAAACATCTGATGTTCCAAATGAACGGTGGGATGTGCCTGTGAGATCGGTGTGAGGCGCCATATCTGATGAGCAGATCCAGTCTCGATTTTGTTAATGTCTCAGTGGGGTCCACAATAGAATAATCCAGAAGTAGACCGTAGGAGTCCACGCAGCTTCTGCCCCACATTTGTCTTCGCCGTACCGTATATATGTTAATATAATATTGACTACAACTTAACTGCTCAAAAGTCTTTTTTTTTTTTATTTCTTTTTTTCCTTCTAATTCTTGCCAATTTTTTTCACTCTCTTTTCTCCGATCTTTTCTCCCCCTGCAAAGATGTCATCCGCCGGAATCTCGGGTGGCGGTGGCGGTGGCGCCGCCGTTCCACGACCCTATTTCTGCTACCAGTGCAACCGCACGGTATTAATAACACCCTCACCCACCTCCGACCTTGTCTGCCCGGACTGCAACGGTGGCTTTCTTGAAGAATATGAAAACCCTAACCCTAGGCCCTCCTTAAATCCCGATCCCTTTTTCGACAACCTCGCTGGATTCCCTTCATTTGCTACTGGTATAGGATTACCCGTTCTCCTTTCCACCTCCACATCAGGCGACTTCCAGGGCCCTACTGAGCTCTCCACCCTCTTCGGACCCGCGCTTCGCCACCGCTCCACGTCTGCTTCTTTTCAAGAACCAGAAGTGTTCAATCCCTTTGCGTTTCTTCAGAATTACCTTCAAGCCCTAAGAGCCGACGGCGCCAACATTCAATTCGTCATCGAGAACAACCCCGGTGATGGAGGGATCCGCCTTCCATCCAATCTAGGCGATTATTTCATCGGTCCGGGGCTTGAGCAGTTGATCCAGCAATTGGCGGAGAACGATCCGAACCGTTACGGTACGCCTCCAGCTTCGAATTCGGCAGTGGAGGCTCTCCCTAATATTATTATTACGGATGAATTGTTGGCTTCAGATACGGCGCAGTGTGCGGTCTGCAAAGATACGTTCGAGCTTGGGAGCGAGGCGAAACAGATGCCCTGCAAGCATATTTACCATTCGGATTGTATACTGCCTTGGTTGGAGTTGCATAATTCTTGTCCTGTTTGTCGGTACGAGTTGCCAACGGATGATCCCGATTACGAGCAGCGGAGGGGGAACCAAGGGACAGCGAATTCGGCGCGTGCTGGTGGGTCGGCAGATTCGGGGAGTGGAAGGGCAGGGCAGGTGCATGCGCCGATGCAGAGGACGGTGGAGCGGAGGTTTAGGATATCATTGCCATCGATATTTCGGGGATTGATATCGCCTGCGGAGACTAGTAACAGTGGAGTTGGAAGCAATAATGGCAATAATGGAAGGGACCAGAACACAGGAAGCCGAGAGAGAAGGAATTTTGGGTCAGAGACCAGGCAAGAAGATTTGGATTGAGAATTGTAAGTACTGTTCTAAGAACAGGAGGGTCCCCGTTTTCATCTTTTTTCCCTCTTTTCTGTTTGATTAATTTTTACTTCTTAGATGAATAATGATAATGTTGTTGTTGTTCCTTCTTTAGCGTTTATTCATTTTTTTTCCTATAGTTTTATTTTTGGGAGTGGGGGTCTGATAGTATTGCAATCTGTGAGCTATATCTTGCACAGAGAATTAAGGAAGGCAACTTAGAATTTTATGTTATCATGAATTGATTCATTGGTTGAGATAAGTACCTTGTTATCCTCTGTTTCGTTGTGTTGTTTGATTACTTTTTCTTTCTCACATCAATTTGTAGTTTTTCTTCTTTGGTTTTTATTCATTTTATTCATATAGGTTTTCTGGGGTTGACACCATATCTCGCATAGAGAACTCTGGAATCAAACCCCATATTTTATATTGTTATGGATTCATGCATTGTTTCATAAAAAAAATCCTTAATAATGACTGATCTCGAATTCACTGGATAGCCATATATCATGTGATAACTTTCATTTTAGTTGTAACATGTTGTCCTAATTGAAAACCCAGAGGAGGTAGATCTTTTAACCGGTTTTAATGAAATTTAATGTGGTTATTATTCTTTTATTTGTACATGATGTGCTTGTTTGTAGTATGTTAAGATAGACTTCTTGGAATATTTTTAAAATCTGCTTTTATGTGATTACTGATATAACTATCATTGCTTTTTTTTATTTTTCTTCGTTGATAGGTAAAGATTTGTTGGACAAGTGAATATACACATGTTACACCCTAATGCTTAGCCACATGAAAATGCATCTATATTTCATTTTTCAAAAGATGCAATAATGCATTTAGTTCATTCAACTCTATTTTTAGTCGAGGCTCTGAATGCATTCCAATGCACATTCCACTTTTAGAACCAGTTTCTTTTTGGAAGTGTTGTTATTTCATCCATACAAATATTGTGTCATGTGGAAAAAGGAGTTGGTTTTAATCTTCCTTGTTGGCTTAAAACATGCAATTAATCCAACACTGTGATCCTTCAACCTCAATGGCATGTTTATCCTCAAAAATCTCAAGAAATTCTGCAACTAATTAGCATTTTTTCTAGTCTTCAAAGTTAACAATGATTTCTTTCTTTAATTAATTTGTTGACTTTCAAGTTTGTCATAAGCAAAGCAGTCCATAACAAGAATCATGTTGTTGGTGGGGGCAGTGGGGCTTATTGGAAAATGTGGTGTATCTGGATGGTAAAGGGAGTATAAGAACAATCCCCTTTCGACTGTGATTTGTGGCTTTGCCCCAGATTGTTGTATTTAGTATGACCCAGGATGGTACTTATTCAATCATGCCAAATGGATGATGTGCTCCTTGGCTTTAGATGCATCTTCCAAACGTGGTGGGCCATGTAAATGTCTTGGTTGTAGATATGACAGTAGATCAAAGCAAATATCCATCAGAGTGGTATGCACAAAGAAAGATGAAAATGCTTCCTTGAGGAATCCTCGTCATACCACCTTTTTTTATTTATTTTCTTGATTTCGTGATCTTAGTACCACTTATCTCCCTGTAAAATGCCTTAACTCCATAACTCCACCCATTCAATGAAATCTTTGTAAACCTGTTGAGATGCAACTCCTTCAACTTTCATCTTTTTAATATTTAATTTCATCTAAACAACTATCCTTCTGTTTGGATTTGGTATTGATGACAATTGGATTAACAACCAAATAGGGAAGAAAGTAGAAAGCCCCACATCACCTAGGCAAGGGGAAGGCAGGTGCTTAAAACAGCTTTCAAAGTGGTTAATTACCTAACATACATGATGCATCCAGAGAGTTAATTCGGTAAAAGATACCTGGTACAAGTGGCTTTGCTAAGCCTCTCTTCTAGCAACAAGGCAATTACCCATACTTTTAAAAGATCAAAAACTGTATTTAGTAAAGAAATAGCCTTCTAATTTTCTAAAGATTATACATAGAAACACCAAAATATGGACAGATAGCCCTTCACATCACTCGTCTGCTTCTGTAAGGATCTAACATGCTATGCATTTGGTAATAAAATTTTATTCTTAAGGTGTTGATGTAGGATGGGTAATTTTATGAGAGCTAGGTGGGTGAAAATTTAAGGAATGACTCAAGGAGGTAATCACAGCTTTATAAGACTTTATTAGAGCCAACTAAGATGTGCAATTTGACCTATAAAGGTTTCTGGGTTAGATTCTATTAGGATTTTCCCTGATTCAGGGACAATTTGAGGTGTCCAGCCTCTTGAAAGCAGGAAAACAAAGAGGAAGGAAATGGAATTGCGGAGAGGGAGAGAGAAAAGAAAGGGAAAACAGTTTGGATAGTGTAAACTTAAAAATGTTCATTCATCAACAATTCAAGGTAGCTTTTTGTAGGCTTGCACATCATGGGAGAATCAGTTGGTTACAATTGGTTGCTGAGTGGAGTTGGACAACTGACATAGTTTCTTCTTGCACACTCGCCCGCCCATACCTTGGATCTGGAGGCATGATATGGGATCTTATTAGTTCTCTCCTCACTTGTGGTCCTTGCCTCAAGGTTGGTGTGAGGGGATTCTTCCTGAATTTTATTATAGGAGATAGGACTCCCATGGCATCATTCTCAGGTAAATACAACTCGAGTCTCTTCAAGAACATGAAGTCCTCTTTTAATCCATGAAAGTCATTGATTTTCAGTGGCTTAATGAGAAAGACTGGTTGAAGTTTGGTTGATGGTTGGAGGTCAAGCTTGTAGGGGACCTGTCAAATCTTCTCCAACGCTTGGAAAGGTCTATAATATATAGGAGCAAGTTTTTACCATGCCTTTCTGGTCTATAATATCTAGGCCAGCTTGTAGGCAACCTGTCCAATCTTCTTGATTCTTCTCATGATAGTTTGCCTCATTTGCTGTGCACATAGTAGGTTTGCCTCAAGTTCTTGTAATATATGATCTCATTGCAGCAAATGGTCTTCTGGTGAGGCTACTGATTTTGAACTGTGGTCATATATAGATGGTGGCTCTTGACCGTATAAAGTTTGGAATGGTGTCATGCCAGCAGCCACTTGAAAAGTAGTATTATTATACTAGAGTTCAGCCCAAAAGAGTCATTTAATCCACTGTTTAGGATGCTTGCCAACAAAACACTGCAGGTATGTTTTGAGGCATTTGTTTATCACTTTGGTTTGGCCATCTGATTGAGGATGTTATTTGGTGGACTGAGCTAGTTTGAGCTCCTTGTAAGTGGAAGAACTCACTCCAGAATTTGCTCATAAACAGAGTTTCTGTTAGATACCATAGTAAGAGGAACACCATGGAGTTTGCCCGCCTCTTTGACAAAAATTTCAATAACTAAGGTGTAAGAGTAAGGATGTGAAACAATCTACAACAACCAGCCACTGGTTTGCCCGTCGATGTAGGAAGTCTAGAAATGAAATCCAGTGAAACATTCAAACATCTTCCCATACTTGACTCTGAATGAGAAGGGACTGCAAGAAACCCGCTGGAGACTGTGCTTTATATTTGTTGTTGACACACCCAGACATGCTGCTAGAAGTGTCTGAATTATCTTCCACATGCCTGCCTAGTAAAAWTGATTTAACAATGCACTTGAATAGCTTCTGAGAACTGAAGCATGGAAGAGATGTAAGAGTTTTGGAATGTAGGCTGAGTCAGAGGAAAGAACAATCCGCCCCTGGAAAGGAGGGTGCCATTGGTGATGAACAGATCTGGTTTTGGGCTTCCTGTTTTAGCTTCTCAAACAATGAATACACAGGGTTAGTAACAAGCATTGGGCCTAAAAGTGGGCTTTCAGAAAGAGCATTTGCTGTGACATTGGCAGTCCTAGATTTTTAATCACATAATCATAACCAAGGAATCTAGAAGCCCATTTTTGCTACACTGGAATGAGGCACCGCTATTCAAGAAGGCACTTCARGTTCCTTTGATCAGATTTGATAGTGAATTGGTATCCCAACAAGTAGGGCAGCAATTTCTTTACAGCCAAACTGTTGCCACGAGTTCCTTCTCTTAAATGGACCTGGACTGGTCAAAGGTGAAAAACCTTTGCTGAAATAAGCCATGGGATGCTCATCTTGCATGAGGACTACTACCCCAAGACCTTGTGCATCATACTCTATACTTCTATAGTGAAGTCTTTATAGAAATCTAGAGCTCATGTGGGTGTAGTAACCACTTGTTTGAGTGCTTCAAAGGCTTTTTGGCCTTCTATCGACTAAGTGAAAGGGTCTTTCTTTAACAATTGAGTGAGTGATACCTTGAAAAGCGGCTTGTCACTACTTTACTAGCCTCTATCTTTTTGTCAAGCATCTCTTTCATATGTTTATGTACCGACAAGGCCTGACCTTAGTTGGGGTCGCACTAGCCAGTAGCCACTAGAGGGAATTTGTGATATTGAGTTCTGATCGGAGGACTTATGATCGTCCAAGAGAGCTTGTAGCTGTTGTTGGCACTCCAAGGACTTCTGATCGGAGGTAATACGCATCAATGTAGTTTGGTCTGCTTGGCACGGCTTTAGAGATCGACGCTAAACGTGAGGCCTTAATATTGTCAGTGGTATCTCCTAGTCCTAGTAAATGAATAGCAACACTATTCAGTTTGAAATTCATAGTAAGGTGACTCTATAGTCCCACATGACGGGTTAAAACAATTTAAGCCATTGGATGCCAAAAGGCGAAGGGGATGCTCGAAAACATGTTTTTTTTTTTTTCCAAAAATAAAAATAAAATCAACCATGTTGTTGTACACCCCCCTAAATCAGACGCATTGAATACTATGTGGTAGAGCCTTACAATTCCCATCACATTTAGGGGTGTTCATTGTTTGGTTCAAACTTCAAAACCGATCTCAGCCAAACTGAATTTGCGGTTCGGTTCAGTTTCATATTTTGTTAAATTTTGGTTTGCGGTTTGGGTTTGGTTTCATCATGGACTTTATAAATCGTGTTACGGTAAATCAAATATATATATATAAGATCTAAACCAAATGTATAAAATTATAAATCTATAATAAACCTTTTTGTTTTATAATAAAATAAGTTTTTAAGTTTTGATTTTTGAGTTCACATCTGTGCCCCACAACGTCCCACATCACATATCCACCGTCATCAGGAGATGTTCTCAATACATAGCGGGGATGTGCTGTGGGGCGTGACCCCTTGTGGGGTGCAGATCTGAACTCTGATTTTTAGGGTTGTTATTTGGGTTTTGTTTTAATTGCGTTAAGCCCAATAGAAGAGGATGACGCGAAGTTCCCCAAAC